CTCTCTCTCTCTCTCTCTCAAAGAACATATATATCATCATCTTACCATATACCAACGCTACCACCAACTACGGTTAAAGGCGAAGGTATGGTGTATGTTACGGTGGGTGATGATATGTAATTGTCAGCATTATGGACGGTGATCATGATTCATTATTGTACCTTCCAAATGTTGAGGAGAAGAGATTGTGGTCGGTGGGCCCGTATTGGTTTAGCAATCCATGGATTGTATTTTCTAGTTTAATAATATATGGGATGAGGACCAGAATCTTGGTAATTGGATTAATTACAGGCTTGCTCTAGATGAGATGTACTTATGTTTAATTATCATAATCCATGATCCATTTAATTTTCGGTGATATTTAGTTTTACTTCCCAAGTTTAACACTATTTGTAAAATCATCCTCATTCTTTGAAACCAAAGCAAGTAATTGGATTAAGTTGACAAGCTAGGTTAAGGCTTTGCTCGTCCTTCTCTCTCTCTCTCTCTCTTCTGCATCTGATTGCTTTTCCTTTGTGTTTCATTTTTTTTTTTTTTTTGTGCTTGGAAGCCTTTGGGCCTTTGAGTTTTTGATGCTTGAGTCGTCGAGATCTCCGACTACTCAAACATGATGGAATCGGTTTTGTGCTGCCTGCTTTGATGACCCCTTTGTGGTTTATCGGCTTTTGAGACCCTTTCTGGTGGTTCCTTTTTTGTTCTTTTCTAGTTTTGTTTTGTTTGTTTGATCTCAAATTCGATGGCCAACCAATCCACCACACAGATCTTAGGAGGTAGTCGCTGATTTATCCAGATCTGGTGGCCATTGAGCCTCTCATGATGATTATAAGGGATGATCACCGCTTGCCTGGATCTACCCGCCTCGACGTCCTAGAGATCAAACGCAACTCCTACAAGAAGAGATTAAAGGATATCCAATTATCTGGATCGTTCGACCATAGAAATCTATACAAACTTGTTCCTTTAAGGTTGTTCGTATGTTCTATTCACTGCCCTTCATTATCATTGTTGAATTGGGTCTACTCTAGATTTTCTCTCCAACTATATTTTATCTGTTTGTTATTTATTCTTATCCATTAGATAAAACTTTACTGCAGATGCCGTATGGCGGTGCTGTAATAAAAAGATTTCGCTAAGTTAAAAAAGAAAAAAGAAAAAAGCAAGTAATTGGATTATTCTTTAATTTCTAGGGACTAAACTATAATAAGTTCCTCAACTCACATGAAAAAGGAAAAAAAATATTTAATTTAATTAAGAAAAAAGTGTTGTGGTTGTGGGTTAAGGTAAACGGTGCTACACTAATTATTAAGTGAGAGTAAATTTTTTAATATTAAAAACCATCTTTTATTTAATAATTTTTATTTCCATGTTACAAAATGAAGAAGTTTTTAATTATACTAATTCGGAGGGTTCATGATAATATTCTTTCTTTCAATGTTATAAATTTAAATCATGCAATGTTTATAATTTTTTTAATCAAAACTTTCAATTTAAGAATATATTTTAGTTAACAACTGATAATTAATATTCGATTACTAATAAATTTTATTTTTTATAATTTAAATATTCTCTTTTTTCAAATATATTTTTAATACATATTAACAAGAAAACATATATATGGGAATAGTATCCATTTGCTTTACTTTTTATTTTAAAAATTAAGGAAAAAATCATTTTAAAATTATATTATTTTAATAAATTTTCATTAAATAAAGATTAAAATACTTTATTTTCAAAATATAAATTAAATTATTTTTGGTATTTTCATGTTATATTTTATTAAAATGATATAATTTTAAAATAAATTTTCTTCAAAATTTTTAAAAATAAGAAAAATAAACACTAATTTTATACTGTTAAGAAAAAATTGGAGTAT